CTTCCCCTGTACTCAGTGCTGGTGAGGCCACACCTGGAGTACTGTGTCCAGTTCTGGGCCCCTCAGTTCAGGAAGGATATTGAGATGCTGGAGCAGGTCCAGAGAAGAGCAACGAGGCTGGCAAAGGGACTGGAGCACAAGTCCTATGAGGAGAGGCTGAGGGAGCTGGGGTTGTTCAGCCTGGAGAAGAGGATGCTCAGGGGAGACCTCATCACTGTCTACAACTACCTGAAAGGAGGTTGTAGCCAGGTGGGCGTCAGTCTCTTCTCCCAGGCAACCAGCAGTAGGAAAAGAGGGCATGGTCTTAAGCTTTGCCAAGGGAGATGCCTAGATTTAGGTTGGATATTGGTAAGAAATTTTTTACAGAGAGAGTAATCAGATGTTGGAATGGGCTGCCCAGGGAAGTGGTGGATTCACCATCTCTGGAGGTTTTAAGATAAGACTGGATGTGGCACTTAGTGCCATGGTCTGGTAACCACAGTGGTGTTGGATCAAGTGTTGTACTTGATGATCTCAGGTGTCTTTTCCAACCTGGGTCATTCTATGATTTAAACATAGTAAACAAAGTCCTGGGAGCTGCAGTATGAAAGCCTGCTGTGATCTGGCAAACTTTTTATGTCCTTTTTTGGTTTTGATTTTTTTTAATGGTTATGTGATTCATATTGAAGAGAAATTAATGTGTATTGGGTGATGGGCAAAATGGGATGTCAAATTAGATGAGATATGATAGTCAGCTACATTTAACAGTTAACAGTAGAAAATATTGCAGATCTTTTCTTAATATTATTCATTCATCTGCAATGTAGTCAAATAGTGAACACATTTCATTTGTGAAAAAATGTATTCATCAATTTGTGTGGGGAAAGCAAGGATCAAATAAACAATTCACAAACATTACTTAGCTATATCAAGGGTAGAAAAGGATTCTTATGTTGAGGAAACATATTGCCACTGAATGCATTTTTATAAAACAAATAGAGTACACAGTGCAGATAATTAGGGGACTGTCCTCTGGAAGTGGCCTTCACTCAACAAACACAAAACCTTGACATCTTTACTGTCTTGGTAAATTTAGGCAAATGCTCACAACAAAATGAAATAAAAGATATTTATGAGAAATTAAACAGAGGACAGATCAAGCAACCTAAAACAGATCTTACTTTGAACAAATGTATTTTTTGACACTCTTCCCAAGATTAATTAATCTGAAGGAAACAGTGATGGTGTACTGCTGATGTTAACCACAGCAAACAGATATGAAACCAAAGGTCACTTTTATCTCTTTTTGACAGCAAAATCAGTCTCCTTGTCAGATTTTGTTTACCTTTGTATTGACATCTCCAGCAATGCCTCTGTATCCATCAGTGTCACAGGAACCCACTCTGACCAATTGCATTCATTATCCTTACAACTCATTTTTTTTATTTGATGCATTTCACTTTTTTCCTATTAGATTTAGAAAAAAAATCATATACCAGAGCAGATTTTGATTAAAAATATAAAAGGAGGAAAACTGCTACATAGACCTTTCACATGCATTTACGTACATGTTTGCAGACCTCTCATCAGCAGAAATCTCAAGGAGATGTGTAAAAGTACAAATGTGTGTTGTAAACATACAGATGTTTCTCACACTCACCTTTTGAAAAAAAACTTTTGCTTTCTTTTTCATCTATATGGATGAATTTAAACATAAATTTGTACACTTTTCAGAATTAAGGTCATAGAATTCATACCCCATTAATGAACATAATTAGGAAGGAACTGAAAATTGTAAGCCATCAATGAATTTAAAAATTACTTGTAACAGAAATGTAGTTTTCTCAGTCTCCAGTCACTAAACAAACAAATAAACAAACACACATATTCTTTGCAAATCACCCATCCTTAAATGAAAGACAGTCCAGTTGCAAGTGAAAATATTTTCTCTCAAACTCAGTTGTCATTTTTTTTAAAACAATAAATAAAGCTATATTTTTAGAGGTGTAAACTCACGGGAAAATAATTAATCTTTTCTTTTAACTGAACTGCAAGACAGAAAATGAACTTATGAATATTATCTAGAACATACTCTTAGTAAGGACCTGCTACATCTAGTCCTTAATTGTACCACTAAAAACAATTATCTAATCTCTCATGAAAAACAACACATCCAAAAAAAAAAAAAGCCTCCAAACTGTTTATTCATAAAGATTCTCAGAATTCCATGGGATGGTTATTACAGTTTGTGGTAACATTTTGCAATTATATACATTGCTAATCTAAATTTATCTCGGTTCTGATACTTAATTTCTTACATAAGACATAGAAATTACTACTCTAATATCCCATGTTTAACTTTCCCCTTTATATACTAAACCAGTACAATTCTTTCATCTTTCCCTCCATTTCATACTTATCTGGTCTATAAATAAGAGCCTACAGCAGGTAGCCACTAGGTTTAAGCTACACTAATGTTAAATACAAAAGCATAACTGGTTTCTGTGTTTCAATGAGATCCATAATAATAATTTAAAATGCCATTTGTTTCACATCTGGCTTGATGTCTGCTATATGCCAATCACTTTCCTGCAGGGCTGCTCTCAAGCCAGTTAATAATATATAATAATAATGGCCAGTCTTCGCGAGCGAAGATTTGGGAAGGGTCATTAACCCTTCGAGCCTGCGCAGTG